TAGTTCAAAAATTCGAAAAGTCTAAAAGCGAAGCAAATTTTTTCCCATAAGAAATAATGGAAATGCTTTAATCCGTTCCAGAAACCCAAAAATGTTCACAAAAAAAAAAATTTATAGAGATTAATTATAGTTTTACATACACACAACCAAATATAGTGTTCAATTATGTATTAATAAATTTAAATAAACATAAAAAAATAACATTTTATTTTAAATTGAAGTTTGGTGATGGCATCTGGAAGTTTAGGGAGGAGGAGAGAGGGAGTTGGGGTTAGTGTTTGGAAAGGGGGAATCCCCCTCCATAAGGACTTTAGTATCAAAGCCCTCTCTGGGGTTACTATCCTTTCGTTTTTTAATGCCACTAGGACCAGCTTGGTCACTGGCCCCCTGTCTCACAAAAATAACTGTCCAAAAGTCCTCTGTTTCTGGTGCCCTTTTAAAGATTTACCTAAAATGGGACATGGTTCTGTCAGTGAACTTGTTGCAAAGAGGCTTGTTTTCAAGCTTGCTCAGGGTGGTACTTCTCCACAAACATTTGGACATCATTCCACTTGGACATCATTCCACTTCTGTATTATTTCCTTCTTCACATGTACGGTGTTTCTCACTTTCTTTACCACAGGGTACCACTAGCAAGTTTCTTTGGACCCATTGTAGCTTATTGCACAGCCCCCACAAGCACTAAACACAATAAAAATAATCGTAAAATGTTTGAATGAGAGTCCCAAGTTAGTGTTCACTCAAGCATCAACAAAACCAGACTGGCTCACGGCGCCTGCGTGGGGATGCGAACAGAGCAGGCTCCCGGACGGGGGCCGTACCCGGGGGTTCAAAAATAGGGTGAATTCAATAATAGGGAAAAGTTGGTTCGAAAAAAGGGTTCTATTTTCGAAGAATTTGACAAGCGATACGTTCGAAATTGAGGTTCCACTGTATTAGGATTGTATATGAAATTGTTGCTGCCATTTCCCTAGTACTGGTAGGTGTTATTCATTGGGTTTTGAAAACACTACGGTATACAGGAATTGAAAATTTTTTTGAAATACTTATGGTCTCATTGAATCTATTGCAGAAAGAGCTAGTAAACGATCAGTCAAAAATATCAGTGGTACTTCAGATGTTAAAAAAGAGGATGAACCTGTTATTAAAAGAGGAAGGGGTCCATCTAAGAAAAAAGACAAGGTGATTGAGGGGATCAGGTTACTGAGAGGAGAGAGGACCAGCAAGGAAAGTTAAAACTGATTCAGCTCTGAAGATTGACCAGAACTTGATGATTCTCAAGATGAAGTGGTTGCAACTACTGGAAAGAGAGGTAGGAAAAAACAAGCAAAGGTTAAAGAAGAAATTGTGGATGATGACCAGGTGCCATCAACATCAAAGGATAATGGAGCCAAAGAAGCAAAGAAGACTAAGTCTTCCAAAAAGAAGGTCAAAGAAGAGACTGAGGAGGAGTCTGATTCTGGGAAAGTTACAGGTGGGAAGAAGAGCAAATCAGATGCAAATAAGGGGAAGAAGAGTGAGGGAAAAGAAAATAAGGATACCACTAATATTCCAGTCAAGTCAGGTGCAGTACCCTTTAAAGTTTTTGTAGACAAGATTGGACTCTAAATTAAGTGGTTAATTGTCCTGGTGATTACATGCAAGTTATGGCTTAATTGTGTCTGTTTTATTTTGTAATGAACTTTGAAATCTTGTCTTTTGGGTTTGCTTCCACTAATTTGCAGCACTACAATGTTTGCTTCGTTTGTATTTTAACCATTATGAACACTTTTCTGTGGAATTTGTCTTGAGCATGTGATTTTTCCATATGTATTTGCTGTGTGTAGAAAGCATTTTAACAGTTTTGAAGAGATAAAAGGTACTTGCTACATCATTCTTGAGCATGCAGTGTTCCCTTGTGTTTGCAGTGTGTAAAAAGCATTCTAACAGTTTTAGAGTTAAGGTGTTCTTGTATTTGTCAAGTGTAGAAAAATTGCTGTAGTTTTAGAGAAGAATGGTGTTTGCTCGATTTTTTGACCATGTATTTTTTCCTGGTGTACTGGTTATAAATCCATAGTGTCAGAAAAGTTTGAGGTAAGTGGTATTATACTTCCAGTTTTGATTTTTTTTTTTTTTTTTTTTTATTGGTTTTTGTTTGAAGATTGAGACACTTATGCAACATATGGGAATCCTTATTGAAGAAACATTTCACCATACAGTGGCTTCGTCAGTCCAATACAAATCAGAAGGGTGTAAGGAGAGGAGGAGTTTGAGATAATCAGTCCCTCAGCCTGGAGTCGATGTGTTCAGTCCATCAGTCTTGTAGAAAGTACATCATAGGGCCTTAGAAGTGGCTTATATATTGTAGTCAGGCGAGGCAAAGCAGGAGGAGGCGGGGTCATAGTGGTACCATCCACTAGTTGAAGTAGGTTGGACGAAGACCCACTTTGTGGCAAACATTTCCTCAATAAAGTTTCCCATATGCTGCATAAGTGTCTCAATCTTCAACTTGTCAATTTTAAACCATTTATCACAGGTTTTTGTTTATTGTAGTACAGTATTTTTTTTTTTTTTTTTTTTTTTTTTTTCCCTGTGTCAGTATGGTCCAGAAAATAATTATCTAGAAATACATAAACACACATGAACACTGCTAAGTGGTTAAATGAGGATAGAAATTAGGATGAAAAAAAAAATTTATGTAGTATAGTAATGGCAACACCAACCTGTCAAATGGTTTCTCAAAGAGATGAATACATACATGATAGTAGTTAGGATAGTGGTCTGATATCAAAATGTAAGAGGCTACTAACCCCAGATTTAAAGAAGCATGTTTATTTTGAATGTTCTCTATTAGCTTATTGTGTATTTGTGAGTGAAATTTTATTTTCTATGGAAAATTCATACTAAACATATATTTGCTTTGTCTATGTATTCATTATATTGGGAGAGCAATTTTCCTAACAGCATGATTTGGTGTTGCCTTTGTTATTGTTTACTGTTAATTGGTGAATTTGCTTAAATTCTGAATGTCATGTTTGAAGAAATGTTTTCTTTGTAACCAGGCATAGATAGGGCAGTGGTGATGAAAGGCCGAGCAGCTGTAGATGCCCTTTGCCCCATTGCAAAGCAGTCACATGTGTATGAAGAGGATGATGACATATGGGACTGCATGCTCAATCAGGTAAATCAAATATTAGTGGAAAAATGTTTTTTTCCCAAACTTACTGTTACAGATAATGCATGGAAAAGCACTGAACTTGTACAAGTACAGGTATTTTAAATACCAACAGATTGAGAGAGTAAGATCCATGACCAGTCAAGCATTTATAGAAAGAAAATTTTTGCTCCTTTTTGGTTCTCAGTTTATTGATATTTGGATTGATAAAGCCACAAATGACAAAACATCTTCAATAAATGTCTGGATTGTGCATGTTGCTTCTCATTACTATTATTTATTATTATTATTGCTTAGCACTGTATGGCAAGAGTGAGGTTTTCACTGTAAGAGGAGTGCTTGGGGAAGGAAAAGAGGCAGATGGGGGGGGGAGTCAAAACTAGTGTAGTCAGTCAGTGTCAGTAAAAGAAATTGTAAAAAGCTTCTGTAGGTGGGTCCACTAGAGAGGAGAGCAGACAGATTAAGCATGGCGAGTTGATCTTGTGAAAGCAGGAAATGGGTGGAGAATACTTTTTGCCTGCAGATGGAAAGGACCTGAACTATGGAAGAAATTATCAAATGTTTCCTGGAGGTGCTGCAATTAGGTGAGGGGTTGCAGGACTTAAAGGTCAAATTGCTTGCCTTGCACTCTTGAGAGCGAGACTGCAACAATGCCACTGACATGGTTATGTTGGTTAAGACAAAAGCAAGAAAAGCATCCAGATTACCTGTATTCACTTATTTTTCAGTTGTTTGTTTAAAGGTTTGCTTTCAGAGGAATGTGGTTGGTGACAACACCACTGTCTAAAGAATTAATGTACTGCAGTTGCCAATAAGAAAGTTATTAAAATATAGTTTTGGCCTCTGGGATATTACCAGCTGTGAATGATTACAGTAACTCAGTCACAACAAATATGGCAAGTCTAGTAGCATTAAACTCTTTAATCTAAAAGATGTTTCTTTTTTTTTTTTTTTTTTTTTTTTTTTTCTTTATAGAGATAATCATATACCATATGGCATTGGGGAATCTTAATTATGTATTATCATGGCAATTTTTTGTAATGGTCTGAATTATCAAGCAGAATGTCGAAGGCATCTTCAAACGCGCAACCACCAGCAGCAAACACTGCACCGTTTAAAGGGCATGAATTAATTAACATGATTAGTCAACACAAACGAGACATATGGAAATTTCTAGTTCTTCAAGCTAATCAATATAAACGTGAACCAGCAAAATTTTGGATAAGATCCGACAACTTTTAGGGGCAAAGCACAAGGCTCCTAACTACCTATTTTCATATTCACTGATGAGGATGATGAAGATTGTTGAAATTAAACTTTGACGATCCACAGGACCAGGCTAATTTGATGGGTGATGTATGGGAGAAAATTCTCTCTCCAATACAGTCGTCAATTTAATAATAATCATTATCATTAGTAAATGAATGGAGAGATGAGAACTTGGATGATCTACAACCACTACCTACCCTCGATACTTCAACTCTTGAAGATACCCACCCGCTTACTAGACCTATACATTACTAGAGATAAGTCAGGTTTTTTGGAAGAATGAGAAATAGAGCCCCTGGCCTTTTCTGGAATAACAATGAAACAAATAAAGTACCTACCTAGAAATTGCAAACAGTCCTTGGTAAATATCTTACATGCCATCTTGGCCTCAGGACATTTTCCAGTTGTTTTTTTAAAACTGCCAGAATGATCTTTCTTGCTAAGCCCAATAAAGACATCCACCAACCTGGGAACTATAGACCTATATCTTACTTGAATCTCTGGAAAAGTTCTTGAGAAAGTCATTTTCCAACAGATTGAAATTTCTATATGGAGTTTAAATCACTTGTTTACTGAAAAACAATTTGGCTTTAGAAACACATAGAGGTACCAATCAAGCAATAAATTTTTTTTTGACACTGTTAGCAAGTCTAAAACAGCAGGGCAATCTTGCCTTAATTGCCACCAGAATGTTCATAAAGCTTTTGATAGCTTATGGCAAAGATGGCCTTATATACAAACTCATTGACCTACCCGACCATAACTGGACTTTTCTCAGAGTAATTTATAAAATTTTTTAACTCAAAAAAAATCAAATTCCCACCTTTCATGGCAAGTCGAAAAGAACCTTTTATACCGACGGCTGGTGTCCCACAAGGTTTTTTGTCTCAGTCCACTTTTTGTTTAACATTTATGTGAATGACCTTCCTCAACCAAGTTTAATGACACAATTTTGACCAGTTTTGCAGATGATGTTATTCATGTCGTCTCATCAACTCCAGTAACAGGAAAAATTACAGTATGAGAGAGTCATAGAAAAAATGAATATTGAACTTCGTCGAACATCTAATTGGGAAAAAGAAATGGAGAATTACGACTAATCCTGACAAGGTCCTTGTTAGCACGATAGGTGTTTTGCATCAACCATTGAAGATAAAGGGGGTATCTCCATCAGAGGTACACCTGTAGCCATTAGAAAAACCCCAACAAGATCTTGGGATATGAAATAGACAGGCTGCTCCACTCAACATCTCATGTAACTAAAAAAGATCAAAAACAGCCCAAAACTGGTCTTAGCAGACTCTTTCGATTCAATCAAGCCCTCAACATGTCAAAAAACATCTGTATAAAATGATAATAAGACCTATACTTGAATACCCTTGTGTCCCAATGTCATTAACAACAAAGACCAACATGCTACGTTACAAAGGGTCCAGAATAGAGCTCTTCGCTTTATTACCAATACCAGGAGGAGAGACAGAGTTAAAATGGCAGATTTACACACACAACAAGATATCACTGCCATAAATGTACGCCTTGAAAACCCTAAAAAAGAAACAACTTTATACAAAGCAAGAACTATACATGCCAGATAGAGAACATCTATAAAAAGTGATAAATTACCACCGATTACACCATCAATTTCTCCGCCTCACAGGACTCAAAGAATGACTCTCCCACAGAGGGTTCGTCGTTTTATTCATAAAGATGATTACCCTCGACCCATGATTTTGAGCAACTTACCTGACGAAGAAGATTGGATACTACCAGAACCCTTCTATGTATACTGAAAAAATCATCGCCCCAATTAGGAGACATCTTAAATAAAATTTTTAATGTAAAATTATGCTATTGACTATTGTTGGACACACCATTAAGAAGCTATTGTCCGAGCTCATAAAAATGGCCAGAAAATATTGCCTTTCTTGTCGTATAAATATCCGTTGTGCAATCGCGAAAAAAAAAAAAAAAGCAATTGCAACTTGTATAATTACAACCAATTCAGAGTCATGTACTTATATACCTATTATATTTATGTGAATCTGATGGGTTAGTATTATACCCCTTAAAGAATATCTTATCAATTCAAATACACTTTTTAAATTACACCAAAGTGGTTGGGCCACTTACCTTTTATATCCTACCTCTCCCCCCTTCCAACCCTTTTCCAATATTTCCATCCTTACCCATCCTTCTTCCTTCCCCATCTTACCAAAAAGCTCTGGTCATTAGAACTCGAACTCGAACTGAATTTTTCTCGTGCTGTTATTCTCAAATAAATTTATTCAGGATCCTTTGCTGTAATACAGCAAGAAGATGTATAATATAAAACTTAATTGGAAAGATGGTGAGTGTGCAATTGTTGGTGAATGTATTTTCTTTGGGTCACCCTTTCTTGGCGGGAGATGACCGAGTTAAAAACAAAAAAATCCTAAATTTGATCATTGACATGTTTTTCAGACTAATATTCAAAACAACAACAACAAGTATTACCTGATTCAGCTGTTAAAAGATGACAGTTGTGATTCATATTGTGTGTGGATGCGCTGGGGGCGTGTTGGGGCCAATGGCCAGAATTCTCTTGTTCCCTGTGGGTCTGATTGTGAGAAGGCCAAGGGTATATTCAGGAAGAAGTAAGTACAGTATATTTGTGTTTGTATAACCTTAAATTCATGTATTTGTGTAGCATCTTTCCCTCAAAGGAGGTTTCTTTACACCAGTCAGGGGCTCTTGATTCAAAGAATTAGACTTGACCTCTCCTTTGAATTGTACCTGATGGTCTCCCATTCTCCCAGGTCTCCCATTCTCCTACAGTGTAGTGCTTCCCATATGAATATGAGTGTAATAATAATGCTTATTCAACAGGCATTTCCTGCCAAAGGAGGATAAAATAATAAAATGTGTGATTATTATATATTTGTTTGTCAAAAATTTATTGCATTTTTTTAGGGTGTATGTGACAACTCATTTCATTGCATCTGAAGAAAAATGTATAAATAAATTTGTAGTTAACTACAGTCAACTAGACATTTTAACAATTATCTTAGCATCTAGCCAACAGTGCAGCTGTGGGTAAAATGGGAGAGAGTGAAGGACCGAATGATAGACATTCTTGCTCTGGTTGAGGTACATTAGGTAGTGATATCTTCCTCTGATTGAAAGATTGTTGCCTAGAGTACTTAGATTATGTTTTTGTTTTCAACAAGTCGGTCATTTCCCACCGAGGCAGGGTGACCCAAAAAAGAAAGAAAATCCCCAAAAAGAAAATACTTTCATCATCATTCAACACTTTCACCACACACACACACATTATCACTGCATTTTGCAGAGGTGCTCAGAATACAACAGTTTAGAAGCATATACGTATAAAGAACACAACATTCCCCCAAACTGCCAAACCCCAAACCCCACCTTTAAAAGTGCAGGCTTTGTTTTCCCCCTTTCCGGGACTCGAGTCCGACATATGAAATCCGGGGTTTCCCTGAACCCCTTCACAAATATACCCGCTCACACTCCAAAGATCGTCGTCCAAGACATTCGTCTCCATTCACTCCTATCTAACACGCTCATTAGCTGCTGGAATCCAACCCCTCGCCCCAAAACCTCCTTTACCCCCTTTCCAAACCTTTTCGAGGACGACCCTACCCCTCTTTCCTTCCCCTATAATTATATGCTTTCCATGTCATTCTACTTTGATCCATTCTCTCTAAATGACCAAACCACCTAAAACAACCCCTTTTTCGCCCTCTGACTAATGCTTTTATTAACTCCACACCTTCTCCAAATTTCCACACTCCGAATTTTCGCATAAAATTTACACTACAAAATGCCCTTAACAGGCATCTCCACGCCCCCAACCGTCCCCGCGCTGCATTTACCACCCAACTTCACATCCAATAAAAGTTTTGGGAAACCATATACTTTCAACTTCCCTTCTTTTGCCTCCATAGATAACGCTTTTTTGACCCCACATAACCCAACCCCCACCCCCTTTTTTTTCCCTCATAAATTCATGATTAACCTCTCCTTCAAAAACCACCGCCGACACTCAACTCCCAATATCTAAAAAACATTCATTTCTTCCATACTCCTCCTCCCCAATTTGATATAAATTTTTTTTACAAATCATTTGATACCCTCATCACCTTACTCTTTCTATGTTCACTTAAAATTTCTCCTTTTTACACACATTCCCAAACTCATCACTAACCTTTCAATTTTCTTAGAATCCCCCATAACCAGTATCATCACAAAAAGAAACTGGTCAATTCCCATTTTAAATTTTTGTTTCCCCCAAAAAATTTAATCCCACCCCCTCCCGAACACCCAGCTTTATTTTCTTTTACAACCCCTCTAAAAATATTAAAACAACCATGGTGACTAACACATCCCTTTCGTCTAAGACCTACTTTTACCGGAAAGTATTCTCCCTCTCTCTACACCATAAATTTAAACCTCTTTAATTTCCTTTTAACAAAGGTTTGTAATAAATTTTTTCCCATTACTTTTCCCTGCATATTTTCTAACTGTGATCTTTGTTCCTCTTGGGGACTTACCATATTAGAGGAAATTCTTTATCTTAATTTCCAGATTTTCAGATACTTTGGGGGTTTTAAAGCTTTAAGGAAAAACTGCTCATATTTTTTTTCCTCTGTTCCTCTTGGGATAATCTTTTGAGGAAGGATTTTTATAAGAATGATAAATCCACATGAAAAGTGAGCTCCGTCATAAAAGTAAGAAAATGGAAACCGTTTAAAACTTTTTACACAGGATTGCGAGCTTAAACAGGAAAACTAAAAAAAAATCTTTCTCATAATTTTAGGTTCAGTGATAAACAAAAAAAGAAAAGGGACTGCCAAGCTTTTGAGAAGTGCCTGGAAAATATGATTTGCTGGCAAGGATTACTCCAAGGGAGAAAACACTACTGATTCGAGCACAACCCGGAAAAAGCAAAAGGAAGCCAAAAAAGGAATTTTTTTCAATAAAAACAAAGTTTTGGAAATTTTTCTTTTCATTTTAAAATTTTTTTTTTCATAAAAAAAAAAAAATGAACAAACAAATGTATTTTTCCTGAATTTTAAATGAGCTTTTAAAATTATTAAAATTTGTTTGACACTTTTAAATGGAAAATCAGATATAATCTACCCAGAAAACGGGATTGGCCTCAGCATTTTTTTTGAGATTTTAAAAAGGCTTTCTTTTTTAGTGAATTTTTGTTATATTTGGGCCCCTAAAGTCCTCACAAACATAACCCAACCAATTCATTGTTGATAAATATTTATATTTACATACTTCTCCTCACCCGTAATTTAAAGACTTGCTTTTTTCTCTTTCCCCCCCCTTTGAATATAAGCACTTATTTATAATGATTTCCCCCACCCAAACCTTTCCCAAAAACAGTTTTTGTTGAAATTTTTACTGTAATTTTATCTTATAATAAAAATTTTTTAGGGAAATTTCTTTTTAATCTGATACAAAGGCGACCTCCCAAAATAATGAAGAAAAGAAATGGAGGGAGGCTTTTATTTGGACTGTTAGTTCTGGTAAACTTTATAAGCAAAAAATTTACTTCATTTAAACCCCACATAAAAAACAGTTTCATAATAAATGCTTGCTCTGCACCCCTGTCTCACCATTATATTTTAACAAACTTTTGACTTTAAATTGAATACTTAAAATCTGCAGCTGGTGTGCAAACTGGAGGCACGTGTGAAAGCTCTGATAGAGCTCATCTGTAATGTTCGCACGATGGAAGAAACTGTAATTGAGATGAAGTACGATGCTAAGAAAGCTCCGCTTGGAAAGCTGACTACTGAGCAGATCAAGGCTGGCTACCTTGCACTCAAATGTATAGATGAACTGATCAGGAGCAAAAAGTTGGCTGAGAAGGACTTGATGCAGGCCTGTAATGACTTTTATACTAGGTGAGATATCCTCGTATTTGAAAGCCCTTAACCTTCATTAATTTGTGTTTTTGAAGGAGCAATATGCAGATATGTGTTCACATTCTAATGAATGTAAACACATGCTGGCATCTAATAGATATCCACCTTAAAACTTTGTAGAATGTATTGTATGGAGAAATATGTTAGACACTACAAGTGTTAGTTCAGTAATTAGTTAACAGTACATTTAAAAATATAGTTATGCAAAGTATTGTTTAGTACTTTTATCATTTTTTATGGGATTTTTCTATAATTGCTTACAAATATCTTTTATTTTATTAACAGATCGGCTGTTTCCCACCAAGGCAGGGTGGTTCGAAAAACTTTCATCATCAGTCACTCCATCACTGTCTTGCCAGAGGCATGCTTACACTACAGTTATAAAACTGCAGCATTAACACCCTTCCTTCAAAGTGCTGGCACTGTACTTCCCATCTCCAGGAATCAAGTCTGCCCTGTCAGTTTCCCTGAATTCTTTCATAAATGTTACCTTGCTTACACTCCAACAGCACATCAAGTCCTAAAAAACCATTTGTCTCTATTTGCACCTGTCTAACATGCTCACACACGCTTGCTGGAAGTCCAAGCCCCTCACACATAAAACCTCATTTACCCCCTCCCTCCAATCTTTCCTAGATCGACCCCTACCCCACCTTCCCTCCATTTATGTACTCTCACAGTCATTCTATTTCATTCCATCCTCTCTACATGTCCAAACCATCTCAGTAACCCCTCCTCATCCCTCTGAATAATAGTTTTGGTAATCCCACACCTCCTCCTAATCTCCAAACTTTGGATTGTCTGCATTATATTCACACCACACATTGCCCTCAGATATGACATCTCCACTGCCTCCAGCCTTCTTGTTGCAACATTAACAACCCATGCCTCACACCCATACAAGAGCATTGGTATAACTATACTCTCAGACATTCCCTTCTTTGTTTCATGGATCAAGTTCTTTGTCTCCACAGACTCCTCAGTGCACCACTTGCATTTTTCCCCGTCAGTTCTCTGGTTCACCTCATCCTTCATAGACCCATCTGCTGACACGTCCACTCCCAAATATCTGAACACATTCACCACCTCCATACTCTCTCCCTATGTCTATTATAATACTCCATGGGGAAATGGAGAAGACTCCTTCCTCTGTAAGTCATACGTGTTGTATTAAGTGACTAAAATGCCAGGAACAAGGGGCTTGTAACCCCTTCTCCTGTGTAAATTACTAAATGTAAAAGGAGAAAAACTTTTTTGTACCTTTTCAGGCCACCCTGCTTCAGTGGGAGACTGCCAGTGTATTAAAATAATCCATTATAATATTAATTCTGTTTCCAGGATACCACATTATTTTGGGATGAAAGTTCCCCCTTTGATTCGCACCCAAAAGGAAATTAAAGAAAAGATGGCATTGTTAGAGGCACTTGGTGATATCCAGGCAGCTTTGAGCATATTAGATCAACCAGGTGACCTGACCCTTCATCCAGCTGATCAGAACTACAATGAGCTCAAGTGTGACATGGTACCATTGGAGAAAGATACCAGTGATTATAAGGTAAAAATCATGTTTGGCAGGGTTACAGACATAAATGTGATAAGAGCTTCTGTAAGGCAGCTTTTATTGCACTGAGATGAAAAAAAAAGCTACAATTTTATAATTTCTTTTTTTAAAGAGTTATTTTTAGCTATTTGTCTCACACCATAGAACTTTTTTTATGCAGTTGCAATTATTGTACAGTAATCTGTTATTCATTTGTTACAATATTAATCAAAACTTTAAAAAAAAAAGACATGGTCTAAGCATAATTTTCTTTGTGGTTTTGTTCCCCTCACTTTGGAAAAAAAGATAATAAACAGTTCCCAGTGATTATTTTCATAACCTCACTTTGTGCAAATGTCTATTCGAGTCTGCATGGGCTGAACTCTAGCTCTTGGTCTCATATCTTGACTTTTGACTGATTAAAGTGAATTAGCCCCTTCCTCTGTTTTTAAACACCTGTATGATGTGTTCTTCCACTGTCATTTATCTTCCCTTTCTTTACCACTGCTATATTGTACACGAGTGGTATATAGTACCGACACAGTGAAGAATTAGACACACGTGCAACATCTGGGTATCTTTATTTGTAGACGTTTCACTGTCCAGTGGCTTCGTCAAAGCAAATTCAAGGACATAATGGAAGACTGTTGAACTATTGCTGTATATATTTCTACAGCCTTCATATTATGTTCATGTATTGTATTGACAAAGCCACTGGATGGTGAAACATCTACAAGTAAAGATACCCAGAAGTTGCATGTGTCTAATTCATCATCTTGTTGGTACTGAATGCCACTGATATACAGAAGTGAGAGCGAGTGAAAGGTAACACGAGGCTGATTGTGCAGAAAAAAACTATATCACTGGCATAATTGAAGGGTGTTTGTTAGTAGTTATGGGTGGTGACTATGGTAAAATTGTAAGTGGTTAGTGTTGGAAGAGTAGAAGGTTGGTATATGATACTGACTAGTGGTTTAAAAAGAGAGGTGAGCAACCATAAGAACATATAAGAAAAGTTTCCATTTCTGGGACCTTGATCAGGGTTCCAGCATTTGATCATGTCATTTTAAACCAAGAGTAGAAGGTTGTCTATCTACAGGTAACAAATTTATGGTGTTTGTTTTTTATATGTAAATCTTGCTTCTATTTTAAGACATGTATGATTAGTTTGTTTTCATTGTGCATAGAATAAGATAATACAATTCTGTTTTGGTTAATTCACAGATTATTTGGATAATGCCAAAATAGCCGTGGAATCTAAGAAGTCGTGAAATACAATTTTAGAAATTATAACTTATTTTATTTCTTTTATTAACACATCGGCCGATTCCCACCAAGGCAGGGTGGCCCCGAGAAAGAAAAACTTTCATCGTCATTCACTCTCATTCACTCCATCACTGTCTTGCCAGAGGGGTGCTTTACACTACAGTTTATAAAACTGCAACATTAACACCCCTATATGGAGACAAAGCAAATTCTAGCTATTCTTTCAGTTAATTGTTAACACTCCTGAGTACTAAATTATATCAGAAAAAACTTAACCAGATATAAAAAATTGTTAGCTTGAATTTTATATAATAGTTTGAGAATATAATTATGGCTACCTCTTTGTTTTAGGTCATAGAGAACTACCTGAAAACTACCCATGGTAAAACACACACAAATTATGGACTGGAGCTGATGGAAGTGTTCACCTGTAAGAAGGATATGGAGTATGAAAGATTCAAAAGTGTGGGTAATTCTATGCTATTATGGCATGGATCTCGTTTATCAAACTATGCTGGAATCCTTAGTCAAGGCTTGAGAATTGCACCTCCGGAAGCCCCAGTAACTGGTTACATGGTGAGTTATTTGAATTTTTCTCATTTTAAGTGGGTGTTCATTGGGTGTGTTGGGATATGTTACACAGTTAGACAGTGAGGTGCATTGCAAATGAGCACAGCTAATACAGGATATGTTAATATCCCATATTAACATCTCTCCAAAGTATTAAGAATTGAGCTGTAGGTGTTGTTTCGTACCTGAATGTCCAGTACATTGGTTATTATATGCATGATCAGCCAAGTTGTGATGGTGCTGTGGGCCTGCTGGCTGCAATAGTTTAGTTTATCAGGCAGTCACCTGATCTCATGCTGGGTTGCAGATATTCTCCCAAGCCTGACTGGTTGCAGAGTAGTGTGTCCGTATAATAATTAGCAGATGGAGGCTTGAGCCTCCATCACTCTTTACGCTGAATGACCCACACAGGTTTAGTGCTGCACATAAATATATATACATATCAGACTGGGTTGCTAAAGGACAAAGAAGAAACAAACTCAAATTCAGCCATGGGGGTAGGCTTGGCCATGTTAAGAGGGAAAATAGGGCATTTGTTTTTCAAAACTTGTAAAACTCTTTTGTTTTCAGAGATCAAGTTCACTTAATGAAATTGACTCGTACTTAATATTTTCTGCACATGCTCTTTTGTTCCTACTTCCTACCTTCAGTATCTTTGCTTTAATACTATTGTTGATAATTGTGGGATTAATTTTTTTTTCCACCTTTGCAGTTTGGCAAAGGTATTTACTTTGCAGATATGGTCAGTAAGAGTGCAAACTACTGCTGGGCCAATCAGCGCTCAGATGTAGGTCTGATGCTGCTCTCTGAAGTGGCCTTGGGCAAGACGAACGACCTTATCAATGCTGACTATAATGCCAACAATCTTCCCAAAGGATTCAACTCAGTCAAAGGATGTGGAAGAATTGTTCCCAATCCACAGAATTTTACAACCTTGTAAGTTCTTATAGCTTAGATAACTGAAAAATTGAACAATGAGACACTTGTTGCACAAGTCTCTCATTGTTCAACTTGTAAGTGTTGTATATCTGCTTTGTACTCAAACTAAAGAGCTCGTGTTTTTTTTTTTCATTTAATTAATCACTTTTGTTTTGTATTATTAATGTCAGTATTCCCTTCAGCCATAATGACAGTGTATTGTAATCTTAATCTAATTTAAATTGGTGTAAACACTGAAGTTGATTTCATTTTTATCTTTTTAGCCAATGTTTACTACCAACATTTACTGTAACATAGTAAATGGAAAATATTTGGTAGCAGATTGACTACTTATACTGCTAAATTTAAACACTGCTTTTATTTTACCTTACATTCTGTCACAGGTACAGTGGAACCTTGACTTAAAAGTGTCCCACCGTATGAGTTTTTTGAGATACAAGCTGTCGCTCGGTCGATCTTTTGCTCTGAATTACAAGCCAGCTCCCCCTGCTTCCCCCCTCAATCCAAAATTTGCTCACCTCGCTTGTTCATCTATGATTTCATGCTTTAATTACTTGGAAATCATCCTCTTTTTCTTCTCAGCACTGTCCTTTACACTTACTTTCTTAGGACCCATGCTTAGAAAAATTAAATTTGGCCAAATGGCTGTAAAAAATGTAAGCAAAGCATGAGAGAAATACTCCCACACCGAGGTAAACAGTACACTGAGTTGGCGGCGTTCTGCTCTCTTTATCATTGTTATTATTATTATTACACATGTATTATTCATAAATGTATGAAAGAGGGGAAGGTACCTAGGGATTGGCGGAGAGCATGTATAGTCCCTTTATATAAAGGGAAAGGGGACAAAAGAGATTGTAAAAATTATAGAGGAATAAGTTTACTGAGTATACCAGGAAAAGTATACGGTAGGGTTATAATTGAAAGAATTAGAGGTAAGACAGAATGTAGGATTGCGGATGAGCAGGGAGGTTTCAGAGTGGGTAGGGGATGTGTAGATCAAGTGTTTACATTGAAGCATATATGTGAACAGTATTTAGATAAAGGTAGGGAAGTTTTTATTGCATTTATGGATTTAGAAAAGGCATATGATAGAGTGGATAGAGGAGCAATGTGGCAGATGTTGCAAGTATATGGAATAGGTGGTAGTTACTAAATGCTGTAAAGAGTTTTCATGAGGATAGTGAGGCTCAGGTTAGGGTGTGTAGAAGAGAGGAAGAATACTTCCCGGTAAAAGTAGGTCTTAGACAGGGATGTGTAATGTCACCATGGTTGTTTAATATATTTATAGATGGGGTTGTAAAAGAAGTAAATGCTAGGGTGTTCGGGAGAGGGGTGGGATTAAATTATGGGGAATCAAATTCAAAATGGGAATTGACAGTTACTTTTTGCTGATGATGCTGTGCTTATGGGAGATTCTAAAGAAAAATTGCAAAGGTTAGTGGATGAGTTTGGGAATGTGTGTAAAGGTAGAAAGTTGAAAGTGAACATAGAAAAGAGTAAGGTGATGAGGGTATCAAATGATTTAGATAAAGAAAAATTGGATATCAAATTGGGGAGGAGGAATATGGAAGAAGTGAATGTTTTCAGATACTTGGGAGTTGACGTGTCGGCGGATGGATTTATGAAGGATGAGGTTAATCATAGAATTGATGAGGGAAAAGAGGCGAGTGGTGCGTTGAGGTATATGTGGAGTCAAAAAACGTTATCTATGGAGGCAAAGAAGGGAATGAATGAAAGTATAGTAGTACCAATACTCTTATATGGATGTGAAGCTTGGGTGGTAAATGCAACAGCGAGGAGACGGTTGGAGGCAGTGGAGATGTCCTGTCTAAGGGCAATGTGTGGTGTAAATATTATGCAGACAATTCGGAGTGTGGAAATTAGGAAAAGGTGTGGAGTTAATAAAAGCATTAGTCAGAGGGCAGAAGAGGGGTTGTTGAGGTGGTTTGGTCATTTAGAGAGAATGGATCAAAGTAGAATGACATGGAAAGCATATAAATCTATAGGGGAAGGAAGGAGGGGTAGGGGTCGTCCTCGAAAGGGTTGGAGAGAGGGGGTAAAGGAGGTTTTGTGGGCAAGGGGCTTGGACTTCCAGCAAGCGTGCATGAGCGTGTTAGATAGGAGTGAATGGAGACGAATGGTATTTGGGACCTGACGATCTGTTGGAGTGTGAGCAGGGTAATATTTAGTGAAGGGATTCAGGGAAACCGGTTATTTTCATGTAGTCGGACTTGAGTCCTGGAAATGGGAAGTACAATGCCTGCACTTTAAAGGAGGGGTTTGGGATATTGGCAGTTTGGAGGGATATGTTGTGTATCTTTATACGTATATGCTTCTAAACTGTTGTGTTCTGAGCACCTCTGCAAAAACAGTGATTGTGTGATTGAGGTGAAAGTGTTGAATGTTGATGATAGTATTTTCTTTTTGGGGATTTTCTTTCTTTTTGGGTCACCCTGCCTCGGTGGGAGATGGCCGACTTGTTGAAAAAAAAAAAATTGTAATATAATAATAGAGTGAGCTTCAGTTCCCTAAATTAATAATAATTATAATTTTTTTTATTTTTCCCCCCAACAAGTCGGCCGTCTCCCACCGAGGCAGGGTGACCCAAAAAAGAAAGAAAATCCCCAAAAAAGAAAATACTTTCATCATCATTCAACACTTTCACCACACTCACACATCGCTGTTTTTGCAGAGGTGCTCAGAATACAACAGTTTAGAAGCATATACGTATAAAGATACACAACATATCCCTCCAAACTGCCAATATCCCAAACCCCTCCTTTAAAGTGCAGGCATTGTACTTCCCATTTCCAGGACTCAAGTCCGACTATATGAAAATAACCGGTTTCCCCTGAATCCCTTCACTAAATATTACCCTGCTCACACCCCAAACCCAGATCGTCAGGTCCCAAGTACCATTCGTCTCCATTCACTCCTATCTAACACGCTCACGCACGCTTGCTGGAAGTCCAAGCCCCTTGCCCACAAAACCTCCTTTACCCCCTCTCTCCAACCCTTTCGAGGACGACCCCTACCCCGCCTTCCTTCCCCTATAGATTTATATGCTTTCCATGTCATTCTACTTTGATCCATTCTCTCTAAATGATCAAACCACCTCAACAACCCCTCTTCTGCCCTCTGACTAATACTTTTATTAACTCCACACCTTTTCCTAATTTCCACACTCCGAATTTTCTGCATAATATTTACACCACACATTGCCCTTAAAAATAAATTTTGTTTTATAGTACAGTGGACTCTCGACCAACGATGGCATCGTCTAACGCTAAATCCGACTAGCGATACATTTTAACGCAAAAATTTTGCCTCAACTAGCGCTAAAAAACTCGACCAACACAATTCGTTCCGTCTGAGACGCGTCCACTTGTGGCCACTGTTTACAAGCCAGCCAGCCACCGCGGTCCCATCCAAACATACAATCGGAACGTTTCATATTATCACAGCGTTTTTAGTGATTGCACCTGCAAAATAAGTCACCATGGGCCCCAAGAAAGCTTCTAGTGCCAACCCTACAGCAAAAAGGGTGAGAATTACTATGGATATGAAGAAAGAGATCATTACTAAGTATGAAAGTGGAGTGTGTGTCTCCGAGCTGGCCAGGTTGTACACAAAACCCCAATCAACCATCACTACTATTGTGGCCAGAAAAACGGCAATCAAGGAAGCTGTTCTTGCCAAAGGTGCAACATGTTTTCGAAACTGAGATCGCAAGTGATAGAAGATGTTGCGAGACTGTTATTGGTGTGGATAAATGAGAAAGAGATAGCAGGAGATAGCATCTCTCAACGATCATATGTGAAAAG